TTTTAAATCCTTACAACATGATGCTCCACAAACTGAGATACTTTCAAATGCAACATACTTGTATGTAGGAATGTTCCAAAGTCCTTGCCATTTATATGTCTTCAAAGAAAGCCATGACAAAGTCTTCATTCCACAATAAATTCCTAAGCCATTGCATATGATCACATCCATTATCCACTGAAAAGGAAAAAAAAAAAATATTTCAGGCAACAGAACCAAAGTTAAACTTACTATCCTATTGTAGTGGTTCACACCCTTTTTCGAGTCAGGGCACCCCTCTTCAACATCTTTTTTTTGTTTTTGGCAGCATAGCTGGTTGAGAACCACTTTTATGCTGCCTAATCTTATCTCAACAGTTTTCAACCAGATGCCACCACTACAGCCAGGTAAAACTGCCCTGTGCACCTGCTGGACGGCCAGACCGGAAAGGGTTGTAGCACACGCACGCTCTCCTGCCTCATTAGCACTCTGTGTTAATCCTAAAGCAGTCAGGAGAGTGAGTTCATGCTGCAGACCTTCCCAGTCCAACCCTGCAGTGTCTCCTGGAAACAGACAAACACAGGGCAGGTGGAACTGTCCAACATGTCTGTTTTGCGGAGAAGTGTGGCAGGGCCAGACTGTGAAGGGCTGCAGCATAAACTGGCTCTGCTGACTGCTTTAGGGTTAGCAAAGAACCTAATGAGGCAAGAACAAGCCCTTCCTGGTGTGTAGGGCATTTTTACCTGGCCACTGCTGTAGCAGCACTGGGGGAAGGGTCTTGCAGCACCCTAAGTTGAGAACCATCATTGATTTGATGCATTCATCCATTCGTTATAGAGAACCACTAACCCAGTGAAACCTTTCAGATGGAAATATTAGATACCTGCTTCTGTATAGAGGTATGTTTTCATTCAACAGAACAATGTCTAGAACACAGCTGATCTGATGTCAATCAGATTAGGACGCAGAGCTTATACACATCCCTATTTTAATTGTCCAGATATTCATGTGATGGAGCAACAGATGTCTGAGGAAGAAGTGTTAGTCCTCCTCTTCAATATTAAAACCAGTGTGGAACTGACCTCCTATTAATTACTGCAACTGGAGCCTCACATCTCTGCTCCTTGGTGGGAATGTCTTAAAGCACACTAAACAAGGAATATTACCTTGTTATGCCATAATAGATTTTGCAGTGCTTGTCATTTCCTGTGTGTAACTGGACATAACTTGTCTCCAGGATCAGAATGTGAAGTTTACTGGAGAACTGAATTTTTCCCATGGCCCCATACTGTTACTGAATGCTAATGGCAGAGATGGAAATCAGTGCTGAGAAGACTGTCCGTCTTTAAAGAGCACAACAACATCTCTTGTTCATTGTTAGTTCAACAATGGTAGTTTCCAGTACTCTAGTCTACTGTTCAGAAAAACTGTTCTTGGTTTTATGACCATCTTTAAAAAGCAAAATGAACATTAAAAATGTTAAAAACCCTGTTTGCAAAGTCTATTTTGCAAAAGAAACTGTACAACAGAAATAAAAACAAGGTGAATTTGTATGCAACTGTAGCTAAAATAGCATCACACTAGGAATCTTGTTCTGGACCTGAGATACCCAGACCAGTCCAAAAGTCAATTTATTTAGATATAGAAAAGGATGCATCACTTCAAGATATGCAGCCTGTGTTGTACAGCAGAAGATCAAAACAGAAGATTTTAAAAGTCCTTTCTGCTTCTAAAATGAAATATTAAGTATTTTAATGCTTCTATGTATTCAGTACACTGACAAAAGCAAAGCTTTAATTAAGATCCCCAGCATGGTCCGTAAGATCCAAGTGCTCTAGTGTTTGTTTGGGGGGGGGGGGGGTTACA